TTAGAAACAATAAATAATACGTAACGTCAAATATGCACGTGATTAATCTTTAGGAATATGGACCCCGCTTTGTCTTAGAATTTGATCAATATACACAAATAACGTTTTGTTAACTGAAAGAATACTATTTCTTTTTTGTTGATATCCTTTCTATCGATTTTGAATAAAGATTTCATCGACTTTGGTTTTTTAGGAACTTATATCAATGACTTCAAACATCTACATTTATTAACACCAAATTTTACAATGATTACATTGATTTGCATAACAAGACCACCATTTTTATCGAATCACACAGAATGTATTAATTTACCATGATTTTTAACCAATCCATGCGGAACCAATCGAATTTACTCATTAGAATATTATAGACAAAAAGGAAATCCTCACGTGTGCTTAATGTAAAGACCCTAAAAGCTGCTGGCTAAGTTAAGACAATGTAAATCAGATAGCACAATGATAAATAACCCAACTTTGTAGTTCAGAAATTGGGAGAAACATTCCAAATAACATTCCACTTTCAAATCGTCGTTGTTAGCAATTTACTCCCTCTTTTGAGTAACATAAACATTGTTGATTGCCCGCTGATTATTTCGGTAATGTCCATGGTAGAATAAATACTGAATAGCTACACATATCAAGGACAGAGCCTCGAGATGAAATCGGTACATTACAGCCTTAATGATAGTCTGTAGTGTTTAGACGAGTTAATAATGGTAATAATGTTAGTGATTTCAAATTTCGTTCCAGTATTTTAACCGCGAATGAAGACATTTAACAAGTCTTTAATGTCGTCCTATTTTCAGAAAACATGACTTTTGAAAACAGATGGCGAAAGGATGAAATGAGTACAACCTGCTTAATGTTGTAATATGTTAAACCGAAATGACGAAATCACACATTAGTTTTATTAAATGCCGTTTAGTCAGGTCGAAAAGATATCTTTTTGTTGATAATAATTGCTTTTTTTTCCCGACAGAAAGAAGATATTTCATCTTAACAAATACCGTTCATGCTTGTTCAAAAACTAACAAAGAAGTAATTAATGGTAAATGTAGTTTGAAACGATAACTATGAGTTGCTAGATGAAGAAAAGATCAAACTGTTTGTTATCTAAACAGGCAAAACATCATAGCGGAACTACCCCCTCGGAGAGCGATCCGAGGAGAAATGTCCATTCGCTATGGTCTGTATACTAATTGTCGTATTCCTGAAATATGATAGAATTTCATTATTCATCTCGTTATTCTTTGATGTTTGTGGCGATATTTCCAGCGAGGATCCGGTATTCCGTACTTTGGAATATAAAAGTTCGTATAAACCACTTCGTTAAGCTAGTGTTGATTCTATCATTAAATGTAATGAAAATCAATATTTTCTTCATCCCGGGACTCCATTATTCGATTATACAGCATGTGCTATGATTTAATGTAAGTTTCAGTCTCCAAATTTCACTCGATTTTGAGTAAAACAGTTTTTAAGACTGAATTATATCACAACATTATTTGTGTAATATTTACATTGTGTGTTGTATCCGCCTATTTATCATTGGTATATCGAATTGTAGAATATGATACTATATAGTGCAATTTATAGTGATTCGGTCTGTGTACGAATTCAAATAGATGTTTTCCCACTAAAAATGGCAGCCGATCACTTCCGGTATAATGACATATCCAAAGTTATTGAACTGTAGTTAATGACCTTCACAAAAGTGGAGTTACTTTACAAAGCTATAACACTATAACAGGTCATATTTATTGTAAAACATGTGATTTACCACAGAATCGTTAACATCACCATAACATACAAGCTGACATTGTACATTGTTAGTCAACTTCGTCTGCTATATGTTGATCTGATTACCCACACGTGAAATCCATTTCAAACAAAATGTTTTAATTGGATATCAGTTCTCAATAATCTGCTTTTATTTCAAGCAAATGCCAGTGTGAGATACACAACCAACTTTTAGGAGCCTTTTTGATATTTTGATGCCACATTATGTCGGAATACTTTGTGATATAAATTAACCTAGATCAATGTATACATGCAATATAAATAAAAACGTACTTAATAAATGTAATAAAACGTTCACCTCATACAGCTGTATGGCATCGCAATGTACATTATGTATGATTATTATATTGCAGTTTTAAATTCGAGACACCCTTCCAGGAATGTGGCTCCTGTTTGTTTCCCTCCCATAAAGCATTCTTTCGCTTTCCGATGTTTCCCCTACGCCGTGTTCCTTTCATTGCCTCCTCCTTCTATTTCTTTGTTACACATGTACTATCATACTCATTTAGTATTTCTTTGTTTAAAGTTCTTTATCTTTGTCTATTCATTATTTCACTGTTACATGCATACCGAATGTTTAAACTACTCATAATTTACTGGGTTTTTCCCCATCAAAGTTGAAACATAGATGTTTCCAGTATAGAAAATTGGTTTGTTGGAAATAGACAATCCGTCAACGACGGCTAACGTTATTAAGGAAAAACGTATGTTCCATCTTGATTTGTATAAACTAGATGTAAGGCGGATATTGTTAAGGCAGGGACAGTAAGACAACAAGCACTGCTGGAGCAAAGAAGTCAGGAAAGCTGACTACTCTACAACTTGAACAGGTTCCAATGTGATTTTATGTTTGATTGATAAACATTTATTTGGAATCTTATGTTACTTGAGAATGGAGAGTTTACAGACATATTGGTCTCTTCAGAAATATATCTCATCGCTTCGTCTCAGAGTGTAGATCTCCATGATAAAACGAACGTTTTAGGAGTGGAGACTTAAATTGCATGTGCACGTCCATGTATGCTGTTTGCCTTTTATTACGACCATAGACGGGCACCGATATATTCACGGCTAATTATACTTCATTCTAAATTATTCATGTGACTGTGGAATTGCTGTTCAGTCGATGTCAGAGTAGATGAGCTAGTGTCCATTTCGTCTCCTATAATGACCGTCGGTCGAAAATTCCTCTCGTTCAATTACTACGGTTTAGGCAGACATTAAAGTAACAGTCGTACTTATGTTCCAAACCCCACGTGTCTGTACCCTTTAATACCATATTACGTCATATGAATAGGTGGTCCGCATACTGTAGAACGAATACTATTATCTTTCGTTACGACACTAGAAGATTGTAAAGACACACAAGTGAATTACTAAACCTCTTCAAATCCTTCATGACAACGTGCCTGATGGAATTGTATACATTGTTCGCATGTTGACCGAGAATGGTCACAAGGGATATGCTGGAAAAGTCTTGTATCATACCGAATCCTGAAGATATGTGTTATTTTTATCGAAGCCTAAAAAACTACATCAAATTGTTTTTTCCTAGTTTCAAGGGTTTACAATTTGATTCTCCTTTAGCCAAACGTTTTTGGCAGTTTTTCGAATGTATATAATGAATAATTCCCAATCCCTAGTTTATCTTACTCTCGGGAATGATCAACAAGATTCACGGACGATTGTTTGTGTCAGTGCGATATATGTATGTAACACACTTTCTTAACTAGGTTGTAAAGCACGTGTAATCGTGCATTGGTTTGGCTTTTTGTTGCTTGTAGATGCCATTTACTGAAATTTTCATGATTTAGTATGAAATAGCACTAAATGAGAGAAACTGGAGACAAATTATAAAAAACTCGAATACTTATACACCGATCAAATGTAGAATATGTTGGCGTGACACGTGATTAAGTAGTTCTGACACCTGATGCCAGGTGTAACATGTTGGTGTGACATTTATTGTTTGGGTAACTTGTCATTGTTGTGACATGTGATGACAGGTGTAACATGGTTTTGACATGACACGTGATGACATGTGTAACATGGTTTTGACATGACACGTGATGACATGTGTAACATTTCGTTGGTGGGACACTTGATGACAGGTGTAACATTTCGTTGGTGTTGGTGTGACACTTGATGACAGGTATAACATTTCGTTGTTGTGACACTTGATGACAGGTGTAACATTTCGTTGTTGTGACACTTGATGACTAGTATAACATTTCGTTGGTGTGACACTTGATGACAGGTGTAACATTTCGTTGGTGTGACATGTGATGACAGGTATAACATTTCGTTGGTGTGACACTTGATGACAGGTATAACATTTCGTTGGTGTGACACGTGATGACAGGTATAGCATTAGGTTGATCTGACATGTGATGACAGGTGTAATATGTCGTTTTCGTGCCAAATTATGACACGTGTAACATGAGGTTTGCTTGACACATTTTATTGAGAGTAATGTATGGTTAGTGTAACACGTGATTTGTGTGATAACAGGAGTAAGAGTTCGATGGCGTGTAACGTGATGAATATAACACCGAATGTGTTCGACGTGACATATGACAACTAGTGTAATTGCAGTGATACAAAACATGAGCGTGACATTAAGCGGACGTGACACGTGATGAGTTGGAAGCATGTGACTGGTGTAACAAGGAATGACGTTGGTAGCATAAGATTTACGTAACAAGTTAGGATATATGTATCATGTGGTTGGCGTGAAACTTAACATGACCTAACATGAGGTTTACGTAACACGTGATACCGTCGTATCATGTGATTGTTTCGACACGTGATAAGGTCGTATCATGTGATTGTTTCGACACGTGATAACGTCGTATCATGTGATTGAATTGACACGTGATAACGTCGTATCATGTGATTGAATTGACACGTGATAACGTCGTATCATGTGATTGAATTGAAGGAGGGGGGAGGGTGATGTCATGTGGGTAGTGATTGGCGTTACAAGTGATGAGGGGTTTTATGCTAATGTGACCATTTCTAAATATTTGTATTTGCTCTCCATCCAGTCCAGTGCATTCACCCTTTAAACATGAAAACATGAAGCGCTCGCTTTTAAGTATTGAGTTCCATTGTATTCCTGTCCCTAATAACGTTTCGAAGTGGATTTATTGTTTATAGAATTACATTTTGTAAACAAATATTTCTCTAATGTGTTTCAGGACGAGAAGAACCAGCTATTGATTACAAACGCCTGGCTTCAGCATGTAAGTAAATATATACATTAATTCTCCGATACACTAAATCAATCAATAAAAATGTTCAATCAGGCAGCGGCCACGCATTGTAACCCGATACGTATTTTTGATAACGCTGAAGGTTAGTTGTGGAATTCCAGACAGCATGTATATTGATTTATCAGTATTAATGGCAGAAAACATATTAACATTCGCTTCCATCCTTCTCTGTAATAATTTCTCTGCAATTCAATTACATGGGAAATTGCTCTATTGAAAAATGGTTTGTCTTTATAGTTATATGTAAACCGTTCGGCCTTGTCCAGACGGAAGCTTAACTAACAAATATTGGCTCACATAAAGTTTCACTTGTTAAGATTATTACCCGCCAGACAATTCACAAACAAATGTGAGTTTCACTCGGATGTATCCATTGTTCCTATGACAGATCGTGTTACCATTTGTAACAATCATTCAATGCCTTTAGACACAAGTCATTGCATGTAGTGAATATATTTATGACATAGAATAGATAGATTTTGAATTTGGATGTTTTGGGAGGTGTTTGTCTCTGTTCCTGTTTCTGTCTTCCCCTTTAATGTTACCGTCTTCCTAGCTGTCTCCTCAGCTGCCATATCTCCTTGTTTATTACCTCATGTATATGTTTGATTGTAAGAGGTAATTAGTACATTTAGACTGGTCACCCGAGGTGTTGGAGGTTATTAGTACATCTAGACTGGTCACCCGAGTTGTTGGGGGTTATTAGTTAATCTAGACTGGTCACCCGAGTTGTTGGAGGTTATTAGTACATTTAGACTTGTCACCCGAGTTGTTGGAGGTTATTAGTACATCTAGACTGGTCACCCGAGTTGTTGGAGGTTATTAGTACATCTAGACTGGTCACCCGAGGTGTTGGAGGTTATTAAAATATCAAGACTGGTCACCCGAGTTGTTGGAGGTTATTAGTACATCTAGACTGGTCACCCGAGTTGTTGGAGGTTATTAGTACATTTAGACTGGTCACCCGAGTTGTTGGAGGTAATTAGTACATCTAGACTGGTCACCCGAGTTGTTGGAGGTTATTAGTACATTTAGACTTGTCACCCGAGTTGTTGGAGGTTATTAGTACATCTAGACTGGTCACCCGAGGTGTTGGAGGTTATTAGTACATTTAGACTGGTCACCCGAGTTGTTGGAGGTTATTAGTACATTTAGACTGGTCACCCGAGTTGTTGGAGGTTATTAGTACATTTAGACTGGTCACCCGAGTTGTTGGAGGTTATTAGTACATTTAGACTTGTCACCCGAGTTGTTGGAGGTTATTAGTACATTTAGACTTGTCACCCGAGTTGTTGGAGGTTATTGGTACATCTAGACTGGTCACCCGAGGTGTTGGAGGTTATTAGTACATTTAGACTTGTCACCCGAGTTGTTGGAGGTTATTAGTACATTTAGACTTGTCACCCGAGTTGTTGGAGGTTATTGGTACATCTAGACTGGTCACCCGAGGTGTTGGAGGTTATTAGTACATTTAGACTTGTCACCCGAGTTGTTGGAGGTTATTAGTACATTTAGACTTGTCACCCGAGTTGTTGGAGGTTATTGGTACATTTAGACTTGTCACCCGAGTTGTTGGAGGTTATTAGTACATTTAGACTTGTCACCCGAGTTGTTGGAGGTTATTGGTACATCTAGACTGGTCACCCGAGTTGTTGGAGGTTATTGGTACATCTAGACTTGTCACCCGAGGTTATTGTTGGAGGTAATTAGTACATTTAGACTTGTCACCCGAGTTGTTGGAGGTTATTAGTACATTTAGACTTGTCACCCGAGTTGTTGGAGGTTATTGGTACATCTAGACTGGTCACCCGAGTTGTTGGAGGTTATTGGTACATCTAGACTTGTCACCCGAGTTGTTGGAGGTTATTGGTACATCTAGACTTGTCACCCGAGTTGTTGGAGGTTATTGGTACATCTAGACTGGTCACCCGAGTTGTTGGAGGTTATTAGTACATTTAGACTTGTCACCCGAGTTGTTGGAGGTTATTAGTACATTTAGACTTGTCACCCGAGTTGTTGGAGGTTATTGGTACATTTAGACTTGTCACCCGAGTTGTTGGAGGTTATTAGTACATCTAGACTGGTCACCCGAGGTGTTGGAGGTTATTAGTACATTTAGACTTGTCACCCGAGTTGTTGGAGGTTATTAGTACATTTAGACTTGTCACCCGAGTTGTTGGAGGTTATTAGTACATCTAGACTGGTCACCAGATTTGTTGGAGGTTATTAGTACATCTAGACTGGTCACCAGATTTGTTGGAGGTTATTAGTACATCTAGACTGGTCACCCGAGTTGTTGGAGGTAATTAGTACATCTAGACTAGTCACCCGAGTTGTTGGAGGTTATTAGTACATCTAGACTGGTCACCAGATTTGTTGGAGGTTATTAGTACATTTAGACTGGTCACCCGAGTTGTTGGAGGTTATTAGTACATCTAGACTGGTCACCAGATTTTTTGGCGTTTGATTATAAAATTAGACTAAAAAACCGTACCGTAAATCTGGGACGTCTCTCTTGGGGAAACGCCCACTTTTGCCACCTCGCGCAAGTCAATACAAGAATCTAATCAATCAATTCTCCAGAATTGAATGGTACACACATATTGCCACAGGCACGAGATAGGGAATTGGTATTAGTTAGAAATATATAGAGATAACGACGCCGTGAAATTGTTTGACTGAAAGATTACGAAGGGATATAGGTAATAAATTTATAAATATTTCTATGTCATTAGCTGTTTTTTTTCATTTTGATAAACATAGCATGTCTTATTTTCTGTTTGTTTAAGGAATAACAGAGACTAGCGTGTGATAGAGTTTTTCGATACATTAATGAATATTCGAAAAAAATTTTGTTTTCAAAGGTGAGGTATCCGTCACTTTTGATTTGATAAAGTATTTGAATCATGCAATTACCTCTCTCACAGACATGGATAGATGAACGAATAAGCTGGGATACAAAAGATTACAATGGCTTAGAGGTCATACGACTTCCCGCCAAAAAGTTGTGGCTACCTGATGTTGTGCTTTATAATAAGTAAGTATTTTATGAATTAAACAGATTTCAATATCAGTATTAGATAAATGGGTCACAGGCAAGTTCTAGCAACTTATGAACTCTTCTCCATAAATTAAATTACAAATGATTAACATACTGCACGTGGCACATATCTATACTATAAATATGAAGAAAAGTAATTCGTAGACGTACAGTTGTAAGTTTACATCATTTTGTCAAAAGGAGGAAAAGATGAGATGATAAGATAGAAAGAAAAGAAGAGAAAAAGAGATAATATAGATTTTATATCAATTCTATATCAATTCAGTATTTTATATTACCCTGAATACTTTAAGTAGCATATTGTAAAAACACACCATCCACATAACAAAGGTGGCAAATTTAAAATATGGCAGACGTCAACTAACAGTACAATATACAATACATTAATATAAAATTTCACGTTAAATTGGTAAAAAGATCTTATATACAACAGTAACTAAATCCTATATACAGTAATAAAACCGCCCAAAGCATATTCGTAAAATGTCCACTTACAACATACCTTAATGGAAAAAGCAACCAGTATAACAATTTCGTTTTTCTCAATACGTGTGCGATGATTGAAAATATGATGAATTCAATATGGTTGTATCTTATATTTGAAATAAGAAGCATGTCTTGCCCTGAATGTGAATACGTTCTGCTCAATAACAAGTCTCAATTTGAGCTTTATTCCGCCTTCAATGCCTGACGATAAAGTCACGACCGTGCGAACATATTTGCATTTATGTAAAATTGGAAAGCAATTATTTTTTTATTTATTTATTTTTTTTTTTTAGATTTTTTATGAAATATTTCAGATATTTATCAAAACCGAGTTCTCTCCTGTCAGGACCACATGCAAAACACAAAACAAACTCCATTTGTAATTTTTCAATGCATGTTGTGATATGTTTGGCATGCAAACGACATCGTGAAATTGAAAGCGAGACAAGCCACGGAATAGTATCACTGGCCGTTAACTGGAAAACATAATTAAACAACAAATATTTATTTGATAAAAACGGGTATATTTACATGTATAGCACGAGAAAAAAAACTTAGTAAGGACATTGAGAGTGATATAGTCCAAGGAAAAGCCTAATGAACTATTTTAATTTGGTTCCGCAAAAATATTGTAGACTCTAATACCTGTGTGTAATGGTAAAAGATGTGTATAGGTTTTAATTTGTCATAGATATGTGTATATATACCAATCCCATATTTGTAATGAGGGGAAAATCGATAGCATGTCACTGCGAGGAAAAATATCTTAAAATGTGGAAAGTTACCTTAATAGTTCCAAAACCGAAAAATCAATTATGATCACAAAGACAAATTTTAAAAAAAGTTCTGCCAAATTGTATAACAAAGAGAATATGGTAGATAAGAGTAACGCGCGTGAACTAATTAGTTGAAATAAGGAGCGCGACTGTCTCTCAAACAAACTCGTGTAAGTAACCAGAAACCTTTACACAGTCTTCCAAACCAGTTTCATTATTATAAATGAGTAGGGTTTTCTTTGCCAAAGCCTGATAACATTCATTATAAAACCTGCAATGTTGAGAACCAACGAAATATCGAATCAGATTCGACGTGAAATGTTAAAAATTCCGATCAAATTCGATAGAAAAGAAACACAAGTCAACAGAAATCACACCAAATGGGTAAAACTTGTTCAGTAAATCTCCTACTGTCTATAGACATCCTGTTATCAGTATACATATGAATCTAAAGATTACAGGGGCATTATGTAACGTGTGTTGGCGGACTCTTTGTACCGTGAGCAGTATTGGAACAAATAAACACGTCTCTATTTTAGAAGATTTACGATTTTTTCCCAATAGGTGAAGAAACTGTTTGAAAATATTGCTGCTAAAACAATTAAGCTCTAGAGTTTCGAAGTCCATGTTTGAAGAACATTGACATGTGCATCACATTGAAAAGTTCGAATGGAAAATATTTCTTTAAACAACATTTCGGACGAACATATAGTGAAACCATCAACAAGATGATGAATACTGATTTGATGTGATAACTATTGTTTTGTTTCAGCGCTGACGACTATACATCTGGATTTATGCCTATCAATGCTATGGTAAAATACAACGGAGAGATATTTTGGTCGCCGCCAACACGCCTTAGAAGTTCATGTAAAGTGGATATAACATATTTTCCCTTCGACAGTCAGATATGCAAACTAAAATTCGGATCCTGGACTTACCCAAAGGCTCAGGTGGACTTAGTAAACATGAGTGGATTGGTGGACCTTACCACATATACAACTAACGGGGAATGGATGCTTAAAGAATATTTTATCACGCGCAACGAAATCGTATACCCTATAGGTAACGATATATATCCTGACGTGACAGTCATCATTGTTATACAGAGAAGAATCCTCTACTACATCCTTAATATCATCTTCCCGTGTTTCTGGCTCAATGTCCTCAGCGTGTTGACGTTCTGTCTTCCGCCAGATGCCGGAGAGAAAATCAGTCTTAGCATTACCGTTCTGCTGTCTTACTCAGTTTTCATGTTACTTGTGGCGGAAAGCATGCCTCCAACATCAGAGTTTGTGCCATTAATAGGTAGGTACATATTTACATCCATTAAATCCTTAATAGGTGGGTACATATTTACCGTCCATATTTAGATGAATTACCGTTAGTAGGTAGGAACATAATTACCGTCCATATTTAAATGATTGACACCGTTAATAGGTAGGTACCTATTTACCGTCCATATTTAAATGACTTACACCGTTAGTAGGTAGGTACATATTTACCGTCCATATCTGAATGATTTACACCGTTAGTAGGTAGGTACCTATTTACCGTCCATATTTAAATAATTTACACCGTTTGTAGGTAGGTACATATTTACCGTCCATATCTGAATGATTTACACCGTTAGTAGGTAGGAACATATTTACCGTCCATATGTAAATGACGTTGATAGGTAGGTACATATTTACATCACATGTTTACATCTACACCCCTAGGAGTCAAAACATAGGTAAACAATCTACACGTTACTAGGTGCACCGTCAATATGTACACTATTGATAAGAAATGTATGTCTTACATCATTGATAGGTACATATCTACACTACACATCATCCATAAATAGGTACAGAATGACATATATCGCACCGTCAATAGTTAAGTACTGTTGGTATTTCTAACACTGTTGATACTAGTGTAGGTAGTTTAATGTTTACATTTTCTTATTATGTCCGGATGTTGTTTATGACATCAATGACTCCCATAGGTCTTCAAAGTGACTTAAAAAAAAATAATAATAAACAAATAAAAAGAATCACACTTCACTTTGATTGTTATTGACGTCACAATTCTTATGCATGGCAACGAAGATTTCATTTTCTTGAAAATGTGTTAAACAAATACAAAAGCTTCATTTTTTTCTCCTGTTTAAACCTTTAATAAAGTAATTATTATAATGATAGTAATACCACCGTGTTTTGATATCCCTGGTGGTAAGTAGTGTTGCTCATCGCATGTGTGAAAATATGTTTCATTATTGAAATCAGACATCGTTGGTCCCTACAAAAAGTGGATATTTATCTATCCGTGATTCTAATTATATGAACACATGTATTGTTAAAATTAAGACAGGTACGTGTATAATGGCTGCGGAAGGCACAAATGCCTTCGATCAGCTCCGTCTGAATTCCGACATGAAGATGTAATAAAATCAAAGAAAAAATATGTTGAAAGTCCATGAGATAAACAGGAATATGTATATATATAAATATATATGTACCCTAACTTCCTTTGGTTTTGAACTAAGGTTACGATGGCATATCGGTTGTTATGTTTGTTCGTATGTGTGCTTGTGTTTTTAAATTCAGAGCAACAAGCATACGTTCATTGTTCGTCAGTGTACAGCTGTCCAATAATATTGCATATATTTTATCACTCAGAGGAATTCGGATTAATTCCTTACATAACAAACCGAGTATGTCCAATATAATTGTATTGTTGGTATTTGGGTCATGGTTTTCATAAATCTGTTCAATGTTTTTCGACATTACCAACCCACTTAATCTCAGTCCTTCACGTACGGTCAAGAAAAATATGTATTATATATATTTTCGATATAGGACAAACCATACTTATTTGGATACTAAGAACAATAGTCATCTTACTTCCGAAATATGCAATAGTCTCTCATCTGGTTTATCTTAAAGAAAATAACCGATTTGGCGTTGGTGAAGAATGCACTTAACACATAACACATTGTACCTTTTCAGGGCATACTTTCGTTTTATCGATTTTCATAATAAAATTAAAATCTGTAAACATGTCGGCACTTTATTTGATGTTGTTTTAAGGAATATTGTAATAAATTTTAATATTTCCCAAATAGTCTCCACCATATTGTTGATGCAGCGGGAAAGGCGAGACGGGATAAAAAATATCTACTTTGAACGTAAGATAGCTCGGCAGAAGTTGGCGGCAGGGGGAAGTTAGAATAGTGTTGTATCCGGCGTATTGAACCGCTATAAAAGAGACGTGTCATTGATCTAGATGCCCTCTCTGAGATCCTTAGGAAATGTTATTGAGAATTTCTGCACGTTAACCTGACCTTATAGATATTACGATGACATATTCTTGTTCATTTGGTATAGTCTGCAGCCAAAGTAAAGTTGATTCAACATTAAACGTGATCGGGGTAGACGCAGCTGTAGGGTAAATGTAGATTTAGTGACGTCTAGAACACCACTGCAGTAGACGACATATAATCAGTCCTCTCATCAATTAGATGACAATAGCAATGTGCAGCATTTCACCCTAGATAAAGTGACTCTAGAATGAAAAGAAACTCCGAGAATCAATAAACTTTATAGCATCAAGTGAAACAATGGTGTCTGAAAACAGCGAGCACATGACTATAACGTCAAGTTGTGTTTCCTGAAAAAGGATTTTTTTGTGTGTTCTGAATACATGTTCAATTTTGCTTCAGAATATGAAGACAGCTTTTGTTTTCTGGATATAACGTTATGCTATGATTTCTGAATATCGAAGTCGATTTTATCTAGATATACCATGTATTCAATAACGCTATGCTTTCCATTGGTTTATCAATATGCAATTGTTTGAGTCTGAATATAAAATAAGGTGTTGGTGTCTGAATATAAAGTCATATTTTGCTTTCTGTCTATGGTTTATGGTTAAAAAGTCACCTATCGGTGTCTTGATATTAATGTAATGACGTAAAAGTCATGCATTTGTTACTAAGTTTCATGTATTGGATTCTGTACATTGTCTGATGTCATACTGTAGAGTGTTTCGAGGTCTTCCAATAACATATTGATGTCTAAATGTTGCATCTAAACAGCCTAATGTGTTTGTTATAAGATATTGATACGTATATTTATAGGTCTTAAAAAATCCACTAATTGTTATATGGTCGTTTATAAGTGCCCGGATACACTGTACGGGAATAGGGCATGCAAATATAAAGTCGTAGATTTCAGTTCAGAAGATAAAAATAAGAAAATACCAACATGGCAACATAATCATAATTAAAGATAAAACAAGGGCAAAATAGGAACAAAAGAAAGGTTAACACGGAGACTCCTTAAAAAGCGCATAGCATTATAGACTCTCCGTGAAATTTTTTTTTCTTACATGTTACATCTAGTATTTTCCGTTCTTTCTCTGTTTATGAACAGAACAATCATTTCTTGGATTTCACTGTCCCTGTCGTCTCGCTTCAAAATGTTTTTTGTGTTTTTTATTTCAAGAATTGAGACTGCGCAGTAATACACATTTGGCGCTCATAAGGTAATGTTTGTTGTCTTTATGTCACAAAAAGCACAAGACTGGCCGTTTCAATTGCTATGTATTAATAGTCGCTGCTCCTTTGTTGTACAAGTATAACGCTTTTACTTGACGTTGGATATTCTGGGTAAACTTGGATTATCACCGTAGTGAATTATAGTTCACAAAGGCAAACTTTGAATAGCATTGGTGTAGAGTCATTGTAAATGATCATGTAAGTAGTACGGAATTATGGTTTGTGTTTACAATCGTGTCATAGGACATGTACTGAAGAGGACTAGATATATTCATTACCGTTGCCGATGAAAATATGTCAAACAGAAGAATATATTTCGGTACGCTTTTGGGTTCAGTTGTGTATCCCAGGGGATATAAAGCTAAAGAAATTGATTAAGGAAAATATTGTACTGGTAATGAATTTCATTTTTTATTCCTTTGAGTTTTCTTTCCTCCTCGGTATCCGCACTGAACATGACAAGTTCCGGTATTTCACCTTTAATTGGCTTAGATCGACGATATGGGTAATACTTTAACTTTCTGACTTAAATAACATATAATACAATTTTACACGTGGTAACAAAGTTATACCCCCCAAAAATTATCTCTTTTGAACCTTCACTGATAAGATTGACATTTCGGAATACTGAACAGATACGCTATATTTCTGAATACAATATAAGTACTTTGTGACAGGTGTCATTCCTGTCTTTAACTTTTTTCCAAAAAGTTCTGGTTCATCGTGATTAAATGTTTCGAACACAGTATAGGTATAAAAAAATGAAAAATATATTGCATAAATCGAGGTTACATTGAAATATGTAAAACATAATTTATTCTTCGATGTAAATTAATTGGAATATAAAACCATGAAATATATTAACGACAATTTGAGACTAAATTTGTATTTTGATTTATTAAATCATGAGGCAGTTGATAAATCAGAGCTAAAAACATTAGTAAATCAACCTGAATCAATCTGAAGAAATTAAGTACCAAGAGTTATTAAATTTGAGGTTGAGTTTCATGTTATCATTTTATGGTTGTATTTGTTATTTGAATTAAATAATTTAGCACGGTTTTTACTGTATAATCCATCTCCTCAGACGATACCAGCCATTCAAGATGCTGATGAGGTGGTCAGATTTTAAACAGAGAGCCAATTTTGAAAACTTTATTATTCAATTCACAATCGTGAAATAAAAACAGTTATAATTAATGTAGTATGGCGTTTATCATGGTGTCATGTTGTCACATACAAATGAAACATCCTTCACGTAAGTTTTGTAACAGTATTAAACATACATGCTTCTCTTCTCTAAACTGGATTTAAGATAGTGGACGTATAACGAGGTCGTAAGAACGTCAACGAACCAGTTAAACTTTCAAACATTTCAGATTTGGCACGGTTGATATCCTGTTATGACAATGGTACAGCAATACTGTGGATCTCACGAACGCAGTCAGTCGTAACTCGGTCGTAAACATGCTGATATGCACATCAATAAAATGAACATCAGTGAGATACGATACAATGAAATGTTAACGGATTCAGTTTAAAGCCTGGAAACCGATAGCTGTGTTTAAACAGAGGATCTATGATATTGAGCACGATGTATTGTGTCTGGGGATTACAAACTGAATAACGGTATATGCCTTCCCTGTCGCGCCCATTCTCTAATAACAGATAATACTTAAACCGGCTATCATCTGTATAGTAAACAGTCTCCAGTAGTGGTTACTTACGACGCCAGTCTGCATCTTAACCATTTTGGACGTCAGAC